AGTCGGATCCGCACAAAAGGCCAGTGCTGGGCGGTGGTGGCTCCTCCAGCCTCCCTGACAGCGTCGTCCATGGGAAACTGGCCACGGCTTCTAACTGCCAGTCACTCACTCTGACAAAGCCAGCTGCAGAGCCCTGCTCACCTGGCAGAACCTACACCCTCAACAACTCAGCTCATCTGAATCCTTTTCATCAACTTCCACTAGAAAGGTTCTCAGATGTGTGCAAATCACACACACACACACACACACACACCCTCTGTACAGATCTCTCAGAGAAAGAAGGTGGAAGATCAGACAAAGGCCCAGATTCCTCGCCTTTAACTCTGTGAGGAACACATGACTCAGCAGATGAGGAAGCTGATCCCAAAAGACGCTGGGTGATGCGTAAAAGACCACAGAGAAAGCGCAGGCGCTGGGGTCCCAGACCATCCAGTTCTGGCTGCAAACCCTCCTTCAGCCCGGCACCAGTTGAGTGCCACGAGCGCCAGGAGCTCCCAAAGACAGACGTGGAGCCAGGGCTCGGAGTGGATCTGTGGGCTGTTCTGGTCAGGCACACGGCTTCCCTGGGACTAGCCCAGACGGCTGGCTTCCTTTTCTGCCATATGCATGCAGGGGGTTCAAACAAGGCGGCCGAGCATGGGGACAGCCACCTCCCGCACTCCCTGGGCGGGCAGACCGCCTCCCGGAGACACGACCAGACCACCCAGCAGCTACCGAGGGTCCAGGGTAGGCGTGGGCAGTAGGTGGCAGCTCTCTACGGTCCAGTACTATGCAAAATTTCAAGTTAAAAACACGGAAACTCCAGTTTCTCACTCAGGCCGGCCACATTTAAAGAGCCCAGTGGCTAATACCAGCCAGCAGCTACCAATGTGGGCCACGCAGGGAACATCTCTGCTGTGGTAGGAAGGTCTCCGGGGCAGCGGCACCTGGTGTGGGCCGGCCCGAGCTGGCAGTACCCTGAGGATCTAGTAATAGCCAGGGAAGTCAAGCGGCGCCTGGTCTACGAGTGCTCCCCTGAGATTCCAGAGAAGCCTTCCACCAGTACCTGGCCAGAAATTCTGGCAGAGAGGCCCGGAAAGCCCAAGAGCTAGCTGGAAGGTGCTGTGTGTTTAGATGGCTTCTCCGGGTTGGATTGACCCTGTGCAAATGCGAGCCCCTCCGAGTCTGACCCTCTGTGAGCCCTTCACACGCAGGCTGCCTCCTGCACTAGCGGATGGCCTCCTGCAGGGGGTTCGGCTCCCTGGGGGCTCTGCATTGCCGCCCTCTCTCTGCTCCTGCTTTGGGGCTCTGTAGGAAGGACCAGAGCTTTCTCTCCTGTGTCTGATGTCTGTAACGAAGGAGATATTGGGAC